AAAAAAAATCAATTTATACACATTTGTACATAGTTATCTTTGTACACAAGTAACTCGTACGTACAACAATTGTTTGTGTGCAAGTATAATTTCTCACAAATATGTGGTGAGTTTGTATAAGTTTTATGTGCATTAAGAATTGTTAAAAAAAAAGTAACCAAGTTAAAGTGAAGGATTAGGTCACATTAATTAGGGGTGGGCACGGTCCGAAACGATCTGGTAAATTAACGAATCCTGTAATGTACCCGTGAGATTTCTAACGGTTCGGTATGGTCTGATTCTAGGGATAGAACCATTCGGTACCATGTCGTTTCGGAACGGTACGAAACGGTTCGGTACAATGTCAAACACATGCTCAAACATTTGGACAAATATTACAATTAGTAGATATCATCAAACCGTCCAATTCACATGAATTGTTGATAAAAATATAACAAAGTGCAAGAGGTTGAAATTTTTGTATTTAAATTCACAAATACTCAAATAGTGCAACACAATTAAAGAAAAATATAGCAAAATGACGATAAATCAAATACATATCGTTTTTATTATATTTATGTGAAAATATAAAAAGAATATCATCAAATTGTTGAATAAAAACAACAACAACAACATCCAAGCCTTAGTCCCAAAAGATATTGGGGTCGGCTAACATGAATCGATACATGATATCACCACCAAAAGGAAAAGAAAGGAAATAAAGATAAAAAAGATAAGCTATTATAAAAAGATAATATAAAAAGAGATGAATATACATAAAAATGATAAAATAAAAAGGATACAAATAATACTTATATATATAAAGATAAAAAACAAGGAAAAAAGATGAGGGAAAAAATTGTTGAATATAATAGAAAAAATTAGCATTCTTCTTCTTTGTTCTAGGATGAATATTAGTTCTAATTTAACTCATAGTTGAACCGTAAGAGCTAAAATTCAAATCATATTAATTACGGAGTAAGTTGTAAAACTACACAAATATGAATTTATGATACAACAAAAAGTGATATTCACTAAATTACTAAAAATTAATAAACATTAATGATTTTTAAAACTTTAACATTCTTTCAATATATACCAAATATAACATAAATTATCTAAGGAAATTATAACAATATTTATATAAACACACACGTTTAGGTATTTTAGGGATGCATGAATACATATTTGAATTGGACTATAAAATTTTTGGTCTGTAAAAGAGATTTATTGTAATGAAAAAATATAAAATCTCAAATGCATTATTTTGAAACGGTTCAGTTCGGTATTTTTCGGTTCTCAAAATCTAGTATCAGTCATGTACCCGTTATTTTCGGTACTATTTCAGTTCATGACAAAATTCCATAGAACCTTTTAAATACTTGGTATTCGATTTGGTACTATTGCGGTCCGATTTGGTACCGATTCGGTTACGTTTTTATGCCCACCCCTACCATTCGAGAACAAATTTGTTCACCCTCTCAAAAGAGGGCGATGTTCACCCCACCCTAGTTCCTGCCATGTGGCATGACAACTCTTTAATACGGAGTATTTGACAATTGTTTTTTTATCCAATTTTTTAAAAAAAAATCATCAATTTTTTTAATTTTTTATGCTATTTCATATGATACCAATATTGTATATCTAGAATATTACTCCGCATAAATGGATTTAATAAAATGGATTTTCTTTTTAATTTTTTATATGCAAGATTGTTACCGTTGGAAAGCTCATAAAAAACTAAAAAATCTGATATATTTTTTTATAAAAATGTATCATAAATAAAAAAAGTTATAATAATTTTAAGAAAAAAATCCATAGATACAAAATAGGACTCCTAACATTCCCCTAACATTAATCATGACAAGATTATGAAGCCATATTACATGCATTGAACGACATCCATGACTTATCACTTCATGTGGACCTTCTCTCCTTACTTCTTTGTCTTAACGCATGAGAGCAACTTGTGTACATTCTAAAATCACGCCATATTACGAGAAATTTGTCGGAAATTGGAGTAAAATGATTTATAAAAAGATTTTTTTTTTTGTAAAAACAGATGACTTAATTGATATATCAACATTTAGATAGAGGGTAAAACGACAAAAGAATCACATTCAACCACTAGTTCTCGAACCAGATTTAGAGTCAATCACATTCAAAAAAACAATGTGACTCGTTGATCCTATAATGGGCAAATGAGCCAACGACGATTAAAGCAGACCTCCCATCACTCAATCCTAATGCAAAAGTCTTACAACAATAAAAATAACAAACAAAAAATAAATAGTTTGATCATGAAAAATAAATAGCAAGCAAACAGTAAAATTAAAATGCTGCTTCCAAACCCTACATTCTCATGCACTCCATGGTGGTGGTTCATAAGGGGAACGATCCAGCAGTACTGTAGCTGCTTTCTCGTCTTGCCTCTTGTTCATCATGTTCTCTACCAAACCTCCTCTATCACCACCAATCACAGATGATTTCGAATCCAGATCCGTTTCAACCTCTAGCCTCATGCTTCGTCCACGACCTTTGGCCACCACAGACCAATCATCCATCATTCGTCCCTGCACAACCTTCGACCGCTGGAGACCTAGCATCATCTTCCTTTCGCTTAATCTCACCAAAGCAAAAGAAGAAAAATAGCCGTAGATAAAAAGAAAAACTAACATAAAAATAATTCTACACTATCAAAAAACAAAAATACGGTTAATTATTTTATTCAAAAAAATGTGATTAATTTGTATTTAAGTATCTTAAAGTTCTTTTTCTTCTAACCCCTTCTTATTGTGATTATATTCTGGAAAAGTCATTGTATTTTTTAATTTACTCGAAAAAGTCATCAGAAACACAATAGATCATGGAGTAATAGTGTAATACTACTACAACCTATGTAGCACGGAAACTCTCGTGAAAGAGTACGTTTCCCATTTCAGAAACTCTTTGGAAACTCTTCAAATAAGTGTTTTTTGAGCAAAAGTTGATGTTTCATGTTTTTCGTTTCCTCATGTACTACAACAATGAGCGTCAATAACTTTGTTCGTCACATTTTTATTCATGTACAAAAGTTTTTTAGAATTTGAGTTTTAATATGATACTACCATGCATTTGTTTGCCTGCTACACTTTCTATTTCAGGAAGTATTTAAATATTTATAACACTTTCTTATATTGACAAGTGTTTTATTTCAAAATACTCAAATATTACTTTTTCTGTTTTTCATCTTTTCCCCATATTTTTCTATACTTCTCTTCTACTTATTCTATGTTAATCACTACTAGCAATTATTTTAGGAAAAATAAACAAAATACCTCAAACTTTGAAGAGGTGTGAGATGAACACCCCAAACTTGCATATGTAATTTAAATACCCCAAACTTTATATATTTTAGCACCATAGTCAAGTATTATTTCTTTAAAAAATGTAAGTTTATGGTGTTAATTGCATAATTTAATACAAGTATATTTTAGAACTCACGAAGACAGAATTAACATTCTAAATTTCCATTGCGAAATAAATAATGTAATTTCAAATCTATATAATTGCAACACTTTTAATTTGCTATTTTGAATTATGCAACTAACCCAAAAAATTTACATTTTTGAAAGAAATAATACATCATAATGGTGCGAAAATAACTTTTTATATAAAGTTTGGGATATTTAAATTAAATATACATGTTTGGGGTATTTATCTCACACCCCTTCAAAGTTTGGGGTATTTTTATTAATTTTCCCCAATCATTTTATTTTCAAATTTTATGAAATAACCAAATCTAAGAAATAAACAAATAGCGAGGGAGCAAAAAATAAATAAATGTATTATCTTTTGTAAATTCAAAGTTCAAGCAATTAAACTCAAAATAAATACTCGGTAAAGAAGAAGAAAACTATTTCAACACACTCTTTGTACACATCATCTTACACACGTCCGTGGATAACTATTTTTCATAGACAAAATATAACTACTCACTGACGTGTTTAAAATGATATACTCTTTACGTCCCCCAATCAAATTTGCAGTGTGACTTTTACGATCTTCTAGATGAAAGTTTGACCCTAAATATCTAAAATCTATACAAATAAAATCTAATACTCCCTATGGTGGTACTAATATCAACTTTCATTTCGGTGGTACTAAAGGGTGTAATAGGAACACAATTACTTTATTGATGTTTCTTAATTCTTGTGCCCAACTTGTATGTTGCATCTATTTAGAGACGGAGGATAGTACTACCTATGTTTTTTTTAATTGCAACATTGGACTTTTTGCACTATTCACATATTCTACTTTGACTGTATTTAATTAATGAATATATTATAATTTTTTTAAAAAAAAATATTGTTAAATTCTTCTCATCCTAAATTTTCAAAATGTGAATTTCTTAAATTTTTTACTAATAAGGAATGAAATATATTAATGATCAAACTTGTGCGTTGGCAAACGCGAAATGTTGACTGTTACAATTTAAAAGTAATGGAGGAAGTATAAATTAGTATTTGAAAATATATACTCCAATGATTCAATGAAGTACATAAAATTAATTTTATATGATAAAGTAATGTAAATTATAACTAACTAAGAGTCAAATTTAATAAAATTTCATTAAAAAATTACTCCCTCCGTTCCCAAAAATACTTCCCACTTTCCTTTTTGGGCTGTTCCCAAAAATACTTCCCACTTTCCCATTTTGGACAATTTGTGTGGCTCACATTCATTTTACTTTTTTCTTACACAACCACAACCATACATTTCCACTTTATTTCACTTTCTTAATAAGCGTGCCAAGTCAATCCGGGAAGAATTTTTAGGAACGGAGGGAGTACAATCAAAGCTTAAATATGGGAGGGAGGGAGGGACTATACAAAGTGAGTGGATGAGAACAAGAGTTTTTGGGTACAGAATTGGTTGATAAACAAAGTTACCGAACAGCATTTATTGTCATTACAATTCTGCCAAAATTTCCAATTAATTATGTCAGTTCTTTCCTTTTTTGTTTAGACCTCTCTATGTAGAATATCCTGAAATCTAGAATAATCTATAAATAACTCCCTCTCCCACTCTACTTCGAATCAACCTCAATTTCTTTCCTATACGGTAATAATTTCATAACCAAAACGTTATATTAGACGAATTTGTTTCGTGAAGAGTTTGAATCTTATTGAACGCTAAAAAGAATCACAGCTGGGACGGAGTACGAAGGGTTAGATATTGAGCTCTTCGATTGCAATATCATAAAATCATGAAGAATTCTGTGTCTGAGCAGAGTTTATACATTGATAGCGAGGAAGAGGAGGAAGACGACAAAGGGGAATTGGAATATGGAGCTGGGGATAGAAACGAATCTGACTTTTCCAATTACTCCAATGATCACGAGAATGAGAATGAGAACGAGAACGAGAACCAACGGAGTAAACCGAATTCCTACAGCAATGCATGGCCTCAAAGTTACAGGTAAAATCCCATCCCCTGTTATGCTTGATGTAATACCTGAGGCCTGAGCGAGCCTGGTTCTGAATTGATTGGGTCCATAGTCAGATCGGTGTCAGTGTGTCACTGTGGCAATAATGCTCTCAGATCAAATCACACACAAAAACTGATTGAATCCAACAGATTAACTACTAGTTTGACTTAAACCTTATTGTGGTGTTCTGGGAAGTATGTTTTAGTTTAGGATCTGTATGGTCTTTCTGGTAAAATCCCATCCCCTGTTAAGTTGCATTCCCTACAAACTGACGCGGTCAAGAAGAATAATAAAAGAACCAATTATGCCAGTGCCTTTTCGATTTCCTAAAGTACAATATCAACAAAATTTTCTTTTTCAATTTTGTAAAGCGAAAAATAAGAAATTGCAATATGGCAAGCATCTCAAATCTATAAAGTACAAAGGTACTCCCTCCATTCACAGGCTCACAGAGTCACAGCTCACATAGTCACATATAGTGGCACCTAAAGGCTTTTAATGTAATGTACGAGTAAAACTATAAGTGTGGTGAGTAGTGTTGAAAAATGAAAATTGCAGGAGAGAACAGATGAAAAGGCAAGCATTTTTATTTTTTGATATAATGGTAGTTGCAAAAGTAAAGTAATAACAATAGAAATAATGACATTTACACCTAAGTGACCATGACATTACATCATACGTAATCATAGGTAAACTTTGGAGGATGATTTTGACTAGTATAATTTTATGAAAGTTATAAATTTTATACTTTTAAAAAAGTTTTTTTAACAAAGAACATATTTATATTGTTTTTAAACGATAGTCATTTCTTATAAAAATAAATTAGGGGTCAAAGTTTAATTAACTTGATAAAAAATTTAAAGATCGACAAAGTTTTAAGGGACGGGAAAGTAGTAACTTTAATCATATTTTTGTCTCGGTTCTATTTCAGTAATAGTTTAGGAAACCCCTCATAACAAAAAACTTACACAAAGGAATGGGAAACAACTAAAAGTGAACATGAATAGTAGACATGCATCACATCATCAGTTTGTTGTTTGCTCAAGTTAATTAATCTATATACTTCTTGGTGCAGGCAATCTATTGATTTGTATAGTAGTCTACACTCTCCAAGTATCAACTTTCTGGGGACACCCTCACTGTCACGTTTGGGCAGTTCGTTTCTATCCTCAACACTTACGAAGAGACACACTCCTGAGATCTTGCCCACACTGCAAAAGCCACTCTTACCGCCACAAGAAGAGGAGAAACAAAGGCGAAGCTCCCATGCTTTGCTTCCTCCTATACCTTCTTCGAGGTCCTCAGTTGTTAAAAAGGTGACCCATGATGGGAAAGCCTCTAAATTCACTCATGAGGCTCCCATGCCTCAACAGAGCTCCTTTGGTCAAGCAGTGATAAACGGTATCTCTTTTTTCGTACCTCATTTAAAATAGTCGTTCAGGTTTAGCCTGTCATTTAACTTCTCCTCAGGTTTACATCAAGTGTCATTTTGGAGACAAAAGTGTTTCATAATATGGCATTTTTTGAAACCAAGACAATATTTCTTAAATAATACTCTTTTTCGTTTTAAACCTTCTTTAAGACACATGTGCCAAATTAAGGTTCAGGAAAATATTTAGGCATTGCTATATATTTGATACAAAAAGCTCTTTAGGTGAGGCTATCTGTGCTACCCGCGGTTTTTTTGGAGGTCGGTCTGGCTTTCTCTGACACCTTATCCTTGCTTTTTTTGTGCACAAATCCTTGCTCTAAATGAGTATAGCAAGGGTTGAATTGCTATGCCTTTCTCCATTTAGTATCTCCTGAATGTGTGGTTTCTTGCAAAACAATACTTATACGGAATTTAAATCTTACTAGGAATAGATTGGAATTTATTTATGCAAATGCAGATTTATGTTTACACAGCTAGACTAGCTACATTTGCATCTTATCCACCGCCAAAGTATCTTCACATATATATGCATTTGTTTCAAGACAGGCATTAATGTTCTTTGTGGAGTAGGGATCCTTTCTACTCCTTATGCTGTTAAAGAGGGTGGCTGGATTGGGCTTTTTATATTGTTTTTCTTTGCTATACTTTCCTTCTACACTGGGATTCTTTTGCGCTACTGCTTAGACAGCCAACCAGGACTTGAGACTTATCCAGACATTGGGCAGGCCGCATTTGGTTCAACTGGCCGGATTTTCATTTCTGTAAGTTTCTTTGGTTTTCTGCTACCTAAGAAAAATCCAACCTTTTGAGTTTTTATGTATTGCACATTAAATAAAGCAATGAGAATTTAAAGCATAGCTTGCACTGACACCCTTTTTACCTTGTTGTGTTCTGTGGTTGCAGATTGTTTTATATGCGGAATTATATGTAAGTACGAGTGCTTCATTATGCCTTAACTAATCTGTATTTTGAGGTTATAATGTTTCTATATTAGATGGCATACACTACTTTTGTCTTATGGCTCACAGTTCTTTCCATTTGTCATCAGTATCTTCAAAGAACCAAAAAGAGTGTAAATACCATTAGTTCCATGTAAATTCAGACGTGTTCTGACAATTAATACATATTGTTGAGTGTTAAGTCATTCCATATTAAATACGAGTATAAAACTGCAAACCAACTTATAAGCTTTTGGGTCACTCCTCTCCTACAGCCTTTTTGGATAGAGCACTGAGAAGATGAATTAATTAGCCCATTCCTAGGAAAATGCATGGAATCTGCGGGAGTTCAATTATGATGACCTTATTATCTATGGCCACTGCTTGCAGGCATGTTGTATTGAATATATTATTTTGGAAGGTGATAATTTGTCATCCTTATTTCCAAATGCACATTTGACTTTTGGGGGACTACATTTAGATGCACATAATCTTTTTGCACTCATAGCAACACTGGCTGTTCTTCCTACTACCTGGCTGCGAGACCTCACTCTTCTTAGTTATATCTCAGGTGATGAGCATTTTATTTAACTCATTAGTTAGTAACCATGCATAATGCATGTTCTTAATTTAAAGTTATTTTTGTTTCAGTCGGAGGAGTTATAGCATCTCTCTTGGTTGTAGCCTCCTTGTACTGGAATGGCTTGGTTAATCATGTTGGCTTCGAAAGCAAAGGGACCACATTGAATCTATCCACTCTTCCGGTGGCAATTGGTCTGTATGGTTATTGCTACTCGGGCCATGCTGTGTTTCCCAATATTTATACTTCAATGCAGAAACGTAACCAATTTCCTGCCGTCCTCTTAACCAGGTACTTTGTTAAATAATGTCACACTTTGGCTACATATGAACAAATCACTGAACAAGTGTTTGACAGTCTTCCATCTCTTTCGGGGTTTATATAAACACTTGCTCTTAACATGATATAAAAGCCAGTCTGACACGAGTAAATATCCTCATTTATATAATGAATGAACTCCTTGATCTTAACATCTTGGCTAAATATGATTATATGAATGAACTACCTGATAACTGATGAGCAGTGTTGGACAATCATCATCTCTTGAAAGAACGTTTGGGGTGGGGTGGATTTAAGACCAATGATTATTGATTAATTATAATTAACACATGCGAATGTGGATGGATGCAGTTTTGGGATAGTGACTCTGCTGTATGGTGGAACAGCGGTGATGGGTTATATGATGTTTGGAGATTCTGCAGAATCACAGTTCACTCTGAATATGCCAAAAGATTTAGTTGCCTCAAAAATTGCAGTGTGGACAACTGTGGTCAACCCATTTACAAAGTATGCATTGACCATTGCTCCTGTGGCATTGAGTCTTGAAGAATTGATACCGTCATCAGGCAAAGTCAAGTCTAGGATGTACTCAATCTTCATCAGGACAGCTTTGGTTATCTCTTCCTTGATTGTTGGTCTCTTAATACCTTTCTTTGGTAAGTATTTCTTATGATGTACTTATATCTGCAAAATATTCTGGAAAAGAAACAACCCCCCATCATTCATATATTCAAATATTGATTTATAAATATTGCAACGAATTCCTAAATTTACGCAGGTCTTGTAATGTCATTAATTGGATCATTTCTCACGATGCTAGTTGTAAGTCACCTATACCTGTGCCATTTTCACTTGCTATAGACTTACTGTGATGTTTTACTATTCAATCATTATGTGAAAATATAGTTAATCAAATTTTTTTCTCTTCAGACATTGATACTTCCTTGTGCATGTTATCTTAGTATATTGAGGGGGAAATTAAGCTACATCCAGGTATATACATATTTGGATTTTACTCTTCAGGCTCGTGCTCATATTTTAGTTATTGTTCTATTCCATTTAATATGCTAAAAATATGTTTATGATACATGGTTAAATAATCTACTCAGTTTCCTACCCAATTTTTACAGTACCAAACAGGCTCTTAGGCATTTTCTTCTGGCTACAAGCCTACAACTTGTTGTGTTCTCTGTGGATTAAAAAAAGCAAAAAATTGTTTTGCAGGCATCAGCTTGTGTACTAGTTATGGGAGTAGGTGTGATATCATCAGCCTTTGGAACATATTCAGCCATTTCCCAGATTGCTGATAGTCTATCTGGTTGATGAGTGAGAAGCCCACATTTTGGTAGTCTATGACTATAAATTAAGTGTATTTCTTCTATAATTTTCATTCATTTGACCTTTTGGGAGCACTGTCACCTCCATCTCTGTCCATTGTACTCCCAATTTTAGTGTCACAACTCTCGCATTTATTTAATGATTTTATTGAAAGACTTCAAGATTACACACCTTTGTATTTTTCACCTATTGAATATGTTCTTTGGTGCTAATAATTTGAAATTTTATATCATTGAAGTACTTATATTGGCCTGTTAGGGCCTCTTCCCTTTGCATAAATATTACGGAGATAAATTTAGAGGTCATTTGATAATATTGATATGTAATCGGTGAAACTTTGAAGTGAAGCAGCTGAATCTAAAGAATTGTGAAATTTATAAATCTAAAATATTTTATTAATATGTAAATATAAAATATATGGAAAAATATGGTTAAGCCAAATAAGCTAAAAAAGTAAATTCTATTTTATTTATTTTGATTGTTGTACAACTCGATGCACAAAATCAAAAACTTATAAGACTCATAAGTCAAAAATGGGATTATCAAACGAGCTCTAATCTGATTTGAAGTATAAACCTTTATTATTATGTTGTCCAATATCCTTGATAATTGTTGAGTATTCTAGTCTGATCAGATTGCGTTTGATTTAGTACTGCGCATTAAATTAAAAGAACGTAAAAAACATTTTATTGGATTTGTCACAAAAGTTTTCGACCAAAATATAAACACACCAAATAACCTTGTATTCATACCCATACACACTACGCATAGAATAAGCATACTTCATTCAAATGCATTCATTCATTGACATCCAAAACTCTTCATAGAACAATTATAATGAAGGCATTAGACCTCAGCAACTTAATATTCAAAGTTACTAGTACTAGCATTTCTGTGCAGCAACTTTTATGTTATTTATTACTCCGTATTACTATTAGAGCGATAACGATGAACGACCTTCTGATAGAAGGCCCAGTTGGGATGTGACGGGGTTATAGGAGGCCTCCCGATGCGATGCTCTTTCACATAAGTAGGAACATCAATATCTCCACTGGAAAGACCCTCCAAAAACCTCTGCAACTCACCATTTGGCCCTAAGGAATGTTACAATGGTGGATAAATCTCACATCATAAATCTAAACCAAAACTACATATAATTCCTAAGATATACCAAGACTACTCATTTACTCAATACTAAGACTCGAGCAATAAGCACATGAACTTCAGTTTTTATAGTAATCAAAACTTAGCACACCTAAATATGCATCTTCAGGATTGGGGTTTTTGAACGGTTCCGGGAATATAGCCGTATTAACCTGCACACACATACCAATAGCAAAATATTAAAATATTAATTTAAATTACACATTATGAAGCTTAATAAGGAATGAATCAAGTGTAGGTAATATATGCTTATTTTAGTTAAACCAACAGATGAATTCAAAACTACATATATGAAGTAATGTAATATCAATAGTGTATATCAATTACCTAAACTAAAAAGTTACAAAGTTACATGCCAGTCCTCGTCAATGATACTCACCGGGTTCAGAAGAGATACATGAGGTTCAGTATCAATCAACAAAGTATTAGAAGCTGAATATTGCCCTTTTTCCCATGGAAATCTATTATGACAGCCAGGTCTCTTGTCCCAAAGATCTTTCAAACGTTTAAGATATACGGGTTTTGCCTTTCTTCCAGGACAACCATATCCAGAATCTCTGCATTGCATTTGACTCTACAAAATTCACATGAACAAAAACATAACTAATGTAAACTCTGTATTTTGTAAGATAGAGTCATAGAGGGCTATGATTCTATGAAAATAGACGCAAGGGCACATTTCTTTTAAAGAGTAATTGCCAAGAGAAAATCCGAAAAGGCAGTTACTCACCCAAAAAAAAGCCAACTTGTTTCTAGAATAATCACCAATGACACATCTTAAAGCATCATCAATATTATGGCTGTAGATATACATTCATCAAACCAATTTAATTAATCATTGATTCGTCATATACAATGAAAAAATATGAATCGATTAATTTATTAATAAATTAAGTAATTAACGTAAAAAAATCTCACTCCATTGCGGACGACCATAACCCGACCACAAATCGGTCAAAGCAAAAATCCAGGAATTCATTGCAAAATGGTCTCTTGAACACTGCTCCAAATTCATTTCAAAAACTGAAATTTCAAAAACAGATCAATTTTGGGGAAAAATACTACGTTATGATGAATTTGAGTGTAACTGACCTCGGAATTTCCCATGAGTGTAGTCTGGTTTGAACCCACGAACGGTGTGCTTACAGGGATAGGGATGGATTTCAAAATTTTCTACTATGTATCTATTACGGGGGGTGTATTGTATTAGGAATTAGTGACAAAATTTTAAATGTCCATGAATTTTAAAAGTTTAGGTGTATTCAATGTGGACTTTTAAAAATCTACAAAAGTCTAGGTGTATTCAATGTAGACTTTTAAAAGTCTATAAAAGTCTAGGCATATTCAAAGTTCCGTTCATTCTTATGGATTTCTAAAATCATGGATTCTCGTGGACTTTTAACTCATTTTTAGTACATTAATTCTCTTCGATTGTCTCTTCTCCTCACTAAAGATTTCCGTGGACTTTTCTTATATCGGTTTTTCATCCCGTCCCCCCACCCCACCCCGCCAACTCTCCTCTTCTTTAGCCAAGTCACTCCTCCCCCTTCGATCTTTCTTCTTCTTCAGCCTAGCTCGCTCCACCCCCCTCGATTCGTTAATCCCATACTGGTTCGATTCTAGAAGTTTCTAGAAGAACTGGTATAAGAATCGATAATATTACATCAGTGCAATTCTGGTACGTCGTTACTTAATCATTAAGAAAATAAATATTTTAACTATTACTTTCTTTCATCATTAAATCGCTAACACATAAAAATATAATTTCAAATTAATAAATATATAACCGTAAATAAGTACACAAATTTTTACAAGATAGAAATGAAAATAAAACAATTATTAAGAAGATTGCAATTGTGCTTGTACCACATGTAGCAATGAGTGTAACGATTAATGTTCTTACTCATTAATAAAATGACCAAAATTCTTGAGCATTCTTGAAACTTTGAGTTTTTTTAATAAAAATAAATTTGGATTCTTATGCTTCATTTATTCTTGTAGAACTTTGTGTTGCTATATGAATTACATTTGTTTCATTTAATTATTTATTTATTTGTTTGTTTATTTGTTTCTTATCATACTTTGTATTATACAAAGGAAATTATTCAGGGTAGGACTAAAACATACGGAGTATCATTCTTCTTAAAGTATGATCATATGTTTGATTTTCCTTAAATAGGACTAAATATTACATATTCACCCCTAATTTATTTAATTAATATAAGTAATTATTCATAATTCCCTTGCATAACCAAATCGACTTTGTTGGTGGCGGATCAGTCCGATGACGACAACGGGAAACTCAAGTGACGGAGGCGGACGGGCAGATCGGTAGCGGCGGTCTAGGTGCAAATTTCGACGACCAGCAGTGGTGGTTCGCATTTAAAAGTCTATGGACTTTTTGAAAGTCAATAAACTTATCCATGGATTTAAAAGTCCATAGAATTCATTCATAAAAAAGTCTATGGATTTAAAAGTCCATTGACTTTTTTAAAAGTCCACGGATTAAAAAAAATCCACCACAATCCATATTCAATACATCCCCCGTAATGTTTTTGTAAAATTTTGATACTTTAATTAGATTCGCCCCCCTTATTTTTTTTTGTTGAACATTGCCCCCCTTAACTTTTAGTTTTTAAAATTGATATATAGTCTTACATAATGTAATACTTAATCGGAGACTTAAAAAAGGAACATCTAAAATAATTTACATAACTTAAATAAACAATAGAAGAACTCATTATTTGAGACGTAGGATACTTATTATATAAAAATTCTTAGTTTTGTAATGTTTAATTATCTTTATTCGATAACTAGTAAATAATTTTGAAAAATATATATCAAACGATATTAAATACCAGACACTTTAGCTACAAAGTTTTTAGATCATGTGAAGTAATCCAAATTATAAATGTTTATTGACATTGAATTACACTATTCATTTACTTCTTACATTCTAAAAAGACTTTATTGCATAGATAATAAAATTTAATTATTTTAGCATTAATACAAATATAATATGCACTATATATATGAATTATCAATATAATATTATTCTAAAAATAATAATATCATACATACTATTGTAATATTAAAAGAACTGCTTGTGACTTATGAACACCCTCAATGATAGACAAAAATTGTAATTCAAAAATCAATTCTTTATTTCTATAAGACTCATGTAGTTAAACAATGTTGAAATTATTTTAAAAGTACTCGTGAATGTGAACTTTATAAACTCTTTATATTTAAATAAAATGTTATATATCCTTTTTTATTTTTGTATTATTTTCCATTGATTTGTCATTTCTTATGCTTTAATGTATCAATACTTTTTTCTAGAGCACTCCAATTATAAAATTAAAGTTATTTTGTCATTGTCTAAACTTAGAATGTAATATATAGATTTAAATGTCGTCACGTATGTATTAATGAAATTTTTTTGAATAAAAATAGCCGCAGAGCCTTACACTAGTGAAAAAATTCGCCCCGCTACACTAGAAAAAAAAATCACCCCGCGACACTAATGAATTTTTTATCTCCTACACTAACGAAAATTTTCGCCCCCCTTGACTCGAAATCCTGGATCCGTCCCTGTGTGCTTATCTCTAATGTGCACCCTGTGCACCATTAAGCCACCAAGACAAAGCACAAGAAGCTTTTTCCTAGGACCCAAATTTAACTTTTGCAATGGAAGATCTAAATCCTTTAGGTTAAGTTTATCACCCATTTTGCTTCTGATTGGAGAGTTGGACTGTTGGAGAAGAAATTTTGTGCGGCTTTAATTCGAGCCTAAAAAAGAACGGTATTTTTATATTTGCAGTCATTTTTTGTTTGTTTTTATATTTGCTTTCATTTTTCATTAATGTGTGAAATATGAGCTATTGCCTGAATCAGAGACTAATGTCTGGAACTGAACTTTGGAGATCTGAATCTGAATTGCTGGCTGAATGAATTGACGCGTTTGGAAAAAAGAACTGAAGAAGTGAAGTGATAATGTAAAATTACATTAAGGGGCGTATGGTTTATATTATATTATATTATATTATATTATATTATATTATATTATATTATATTATATTATATTATATTATATTATATTATATTATATTATATTATATTATATTATATTATATTATATTATATTATATTATATTATATTATATTATATTATATTATATTATATTATATTATATTATATTATATTATATTATATACAAAATTTAACATTAAATTACATAAATGAACCTAAGGTTGGCAGATCAACCTCACCCAGAAACAAAAGAATACTCTGATCCTCGATCTAATGTTTTATATTAATCATTAATTCATACTATGTACAAAATAAATTAGATAAACAAAAAGAAAGGATAAACGTAACTTGAATGCAACAAAAATACAATAAAATGCGCGGACAACGTGAAATCTGGAAGCGACAATGAGGGATATACTTGGAATTGAAAGTCTTATTAGAAACGTTAGTGATGGCAACGTTTCATCTCAGCCCCTTTTTTCCAGCTTAAGTCTAGAATTGAAAGTCTTATTAGAAACGTTAGTGATGGCAACGTTTCATCTCAGCCCCTTTTTTCTAGCTTAAGCTCGCTTCAGCCGCTAAAACGAACATGTCTACTTTATATTTAATTGACTGAATTTAAAAAAATTCAGCCCTTTTTTAGCTGACCGGGCGTGCCGAATAGAGCCTTAACCGGATCCGTTTAGGTGGTCTCAGGTCAATATCGAGTATCCGATCAGGTATTTGGAGTATCCGGTCCTGGTTTGGAATATTCGATGTACACATAGTTGAACAACTACTCTATATATACGGTCCCGATCTTATTTTTACTTCTACATCATGTTTTACTTCTATATATATACACACACATAAATTTTGGTTCAAATAAGAAAAAATCTTAATGTAGGAAGTGAGAACAAATCAAAACCATTGATTAACTTATACGGATGTACACTCAATTTGATAACCACCGTTGACAATTAATACCTTTTTCATTGAGCAACCCACTAATGCAATTATTACATTCCATTTATTATAAAATAATGCCTTTTAGTTGTCACATACTCACTTGAATCCTTTGAAGTAAAATATTTGTGTTGTTATCTGGTCTTATCAATAATTAATATTGTGATGATAACTAAAAAAAATTAGTATACGTGTAGGAGTGGATCTAGCATTTACATTCAGGTGGGGTTAAAATTTAATTAAATAACGTATTAAATAATGTATATTACAAAAAAATTAGCATACGTGAAGTAATATAGAAATGTCGAAGAAAAAAGTAAATATTATAGAATCGACAATACTATTATCTTTAATCGATGATTTATCGTTTACCCAAATGTTTAGTGCCAATTTTTAGGTCAGTTTCCCAGAAACCAGATAAATCGATTTTTTTTTAACTCTAAAATCTATACTATGTAAAAAAAACTTATTTTTACCTACCAAACCCAATGTATTAACTAATTAATTTTGCAGACCAATATTCAAAAGCCCAATGAGTTGAACTAATTATTTTTTAGGACAATATTCAAATAGTTCAATCAATTGAACTAATTCTTTGTTTAGACTAATGAAGCCCAATTAATTGGTCTAATTAATTTTTGCATTCTAGTATTCAAAAGCTCAAAATTCAGACTTTAAGATTCGTGTAAGGGAAGAAGAGATTGTTTGGGAAAAAACTGAAAATTTTAAAATTGCATACTCTGGGACTTGGAATAAAAAAGCATTGCTGCTCCCCCCGGGGATTAAACATGTAACCTTTGCGTTACATGGTTAAGCTACCCATTATGCCAATATAGCTTTTGTACACATACCGACGTTTGTTTTTCTTATATCATTTCTTCACAGCACATACACACACACACACACACACACACACACACACACACACACACACACACACACACACACACACACACACACACATATATATATATATATATATATATATATATATATATATATATATATATATATATATATATATATATATATATATAATCCACACACTTATTCTAATTTGTAGGGATCTTCCACCTTTTTTTGGAAGTTGCCAAGAGACATCTAACACTTTTTTGGAGATAGCTAGGAACCTTTCTAGCTATGTGAATCGAAGCTTGGATGCAACTTCCTCTTATCTCTAAACTAGTCCTATAAATAGAGTGCTTATTGTTGTTCATTAATCATTAGCATCAGTTTCTAAAGTGAGAAAAGTGTGTGAATGGTGAAATACACTTAAAGTAAGAGTGTATTAGTGAAGATTGATTACTTGTAATAGTTGAACATGAGAGTTCGTTCTTTCTATTGTAATTCTGTTCTTGATATTGAATAAAAGAATTTTCTAATCTGAACAATTTTCGTGTACATGCGCGTACACATTTTCTATATATGCGGCAACTGGTCTGATCATAGACATTTTACTTAGTATAAGTTGATGGAGTATATGGCCCGGGAACCCCCGGCCCACAGACTCCCACTACACCAATAAAGGCCCAACCGGCCCAGGAAGCACAGCAGGCCCCAAATTACGGCGCCTCAAGCACTCAGCAGCCCACAGCGCACAATGGGGGAGCCTTCGGCCCCCTGGCCGAAGGCTCAAAACTCCCACAGAACGGGTTTTTCAAGCAAACTAAGAAACTGGGAGAAAAACGACAGAAAACAGTAGCCCTCGGCACCTGGAGCCCTCGGCACCCAGGGGGTCCCCGGCACTCAAAGCCCTCGGCTAGTTCTCTGCGGTCGAGGGCACCTCTCCCGACATAATATCCGCGCCACATGCGTACAGATCACCGTGCCCTGTACGAACGTCCCATCCAACAGCCGCATTAAATGCGGCCACATGCGGTTGCCAGCGCCAACCAGATGAGGTGACCTCTCGGCCAATGGACGCTTGACACGTGTCCCTGTCCGGCATTTATTGCTACTATAAATAGCACCCCTTTTCCCCATTTGTAACCAAGTGATAACACGCTTTAACGCCTCAACTCAATATACTTTCTCTCTCTTACTTGCTCTGACTTCTCTCTAAGCTACTCCCCGCAGTAAACCCTCGGATAAGCTACCCCCCGGGTACACTATCCATCATTTGGTGCTCTCGTTGAGAGCTCGAACAATCAAGTAAGAAACCCTCCCCCTTCGCCAAACACCAGCCCTCTACCAAAATGGTGAGAACAACACGTGCCAACTCCAAAAACGTAGAAGACAAGAACCTGGCCCTCGGCGACGTCAACGCCCCCGAAGCCTCTCACAGGGCTCCCGAGGGCGGTGTCTTCACTGGGCTGGAACAGGCGGCTGTCGACCTACGCCTTCAGATCCAGCAAAATGCCCTCGATGCCCGCCTCGGCATCGAGGCCAAGAAGAAAAACCGGAGCGATGACCAAGTCAGCCCTCCGGTTCTCACCATCGACGTTCATTCGGCGCTCTCCGCCTTCATCCAGACGCTGACTCAGAACCCGGGTGCCTTCGGCACCCTGGCTCCAGCTCCACCCCAAGGTTGGAAGAACATCATGCTTCCCCCTCTACCACACCCCTTCGGAAATACCATCCTTCGGATTGGGAATGATGAAGGGGTAATGGCCCAAGATACGGCCTCCCAGGAAGTTCAGTCCCGGGACCGCCACAATGACAACAGAGAAAGCCCCCGCACTTCCGCCCTCAACCGGCTCGGAGGGGGGCAAGACCGCCGAGGGGTCCAAGACCGCCTCGGAGGAAAGGCACTCCAAAGGCCCCAGGAAAGCGGAGGGTCTGTCTCGAGGGCAGACGAGGAGCATCCTCCTCGGGACAAAGGCAAGGCACCCCTTCATGCCGACGATGCTCGCCACCGAATCAACCAGGCTCACTCAGCCCGGGTTCGTTCGCAGGGGGCGGAGACCCTCCCGAAGGACCCCCGCGACGAAATTATTGCGGCCCTCCAACGCCGACTTGATGAAATGGAGGCCAACAAAGCTCACGCCACCACCTCCACCCCTCATTCAGACCTCAAATACGAGGCCATGATGGCCAAAATGGAGGAATTACAAAAGAAGGTAGCCGAGGGCTCCGGGGAACCCATCATCCAGCTCCGGACCCGGACGCCATTTACCCCAAGGGTATTGGCGGCCCGGATCCCGGAAAAATACCGAGGGCAACACATACAGCCCTACAATGGGAAGACGGACCCCCAGGAACACTACAGCAAATATCAGAACAGCATGATGATGGTAGGGGCGTCGGATGAATGTGTCATGCCCCGGACCTATCCGGACACGTCAACAACCCGCCGTACAGTACGAATAGTCAACCGCAGTCCGACTCATCCATACTATACAAGGCGTCTTGAATACCATTCACACATAGTACATCCATAAACAAACATAATGCAAAACATTTATTAAAGCAGCGGAAACAATTGATACAAGTGTTCAAGCCACACTTGGCATAATTAGGCATGCAAGCCCCCAAAGTAATTATTCAGAAAATATTATCCATGAGCATTATTCATATTGTTTTCAAAACAAGAACGGGAGAAGCACGAACCAAGTCTTCTCCTCAGAAACTTCCCAAAGCAGCGGCGGGTAACAGCAACCTTCAAGTTCTACCTGAAACTGTGAGGTGGCCTCCCCCGTGAAGGGGAGGTCAGTACTTGGAAGCATTTGACAAGTACAATGACAACTATACTAAGTATAATCAAAGTTTAAATTTCTGAGGCTCTCGATCTAGAGCATTGTTACATTATAGTTAATCCGTTCATTTAGTATAAATTCATCATTATTTACCACGGTCTAGATCCCAGCTCATAATCACCGTTATCTACTACGGTCTAGAGCCCCGCTCATAATCACCGTCATCTACTACGGTCTAGAGCCCAGCTCATAATCACCGTCATCTACTACGGTCTAGAGCCCAGCTCATAATCACCATCATCTACTACGGTCTAGAGCCCAGCTCATAATCACCGTCATCTACATCGGTCTTGAGCCCGGCTCATAATCACCGATTCCTTATAATTCAAATTCTTAGGATCTAATTCATCCACTTCTCAACTAACATTTCCAACTAATATTTCAATGCTAGTTATTTATTTATTTCAATATAATTTCTTCTTCTTGCATAATTGGCCTTAATATCAAGTATCACTTTCATACTTTCATGGCTTCTCCTCATGGCATCAAAGTATACTATCCCAAATGATATTCATGGTTGGTACAACCATCATACATACATATTCATAACATCTAAACATACACAATTTATTCATAAATTTGTGTATCATGCATACTATTTAATCAATAGTAGTTCTATTTAGGCATTATTAACCATTAACAACTCATGCACATCACATTTGTATTCACTTAGGAAAATCCCATGAAATTAACCCAAAGATTATAAGTAACATAGTCGGTCATCCTCACCTTAATTAAGCTTAAGCGCGTTCTACGTTTCTTGATTGAACTTTGACCAACTCCGGCGAACTTTGACCAACTCCGACGAAACTCCGGTGAGGCTCAAAAATACTTTAAATCAAGTTCCTAACAAGGTTTTATCATCACAAAACCCATATCAACACAAATAACTTATAAGAGGTTATTTTCCGGCAAACCGGTCGATTTGGCTTCTAAGTCCGTTTTTGAACTTAGAATCACTTTCCAACCCATTATTCCACACTTAAATCATGTAGAACAATACTAAAGGTCTTTCATATGATATATATCTTATATGCTAGAAGAAAAACAAAGGAAAAGTTATGATAAGGTCATTACCTTAATTTTCACACTTTTTCCTAGCTTTTTCCTTCTTAAACTTTCTTCTTGGACTCCCTTGAGCTTGAGTTCGGATTTGGGGATATGGAGATGAAGTTGTAGAGGTTCTTTCCTCCTTTCCCTTGCTGCTGGCCGAACTAGTGAGGAGGGGGATGGGTAGGAATGCCTCTTTGTCTCCTTTTGGGCAATGAGTGAAAGGGAGGAGGGCCACCATGATTTGTTTTGATGCCAAACATCTCAAATCAGTCCTCTCCCACCTCATATCTCCTACCAGCCTGCTAAGGCCCTGAATAATGAGGCTAAAATCGTGGGTTGGCCCCCACCCATGTGGGAGGTCAACCCTTTTTGTCCAGAAGTGTACAATCGGTCCCGAAAGTTGTATTTTTCCGGACTGTTTTAAGTATATTTTATTTTATCGGGTCAAATAAAATATAACACTTGTTCCCAATTCTTAATGGACCTTAGAATCAATATGAATCCCTCAACTTTAATTTAGAAGTCTCCGAAATCCCTTTTCGGGCTGTTATCTGATAGATTGCCGATACTGATAATTTGGCCCCGTTTGACCAACCGGTCAACCCTATGCCATTGTCATGGCTCAACTAGGATATCCACCACCATATACATATTATCTAGTCCAAGATCAATATAATATGTGGCCCCGATAATATCGGGCGGTCCCCACTCCTGATGTGGGCCCCACGTGCATTTTACTATTCACGCGAAAAAATTAATACAAATTCACAACTTCGTAAATTCACTAAAAATTTCATAGGGTTCAATAAATTATTAGCTTAAAGATAAATACATTTGGGGACGGTGTTACAAGTTCACCCCCCCTTATTTGGGATTTCATCCCCGAAATCCACGTGTCTAATCGAAAAGGAAAGGGTACTGCTCCCTCATTGAGACCTCAGTCTCCCAGGTTTCTTCTTCGACTCGATCACTCCTCCAAAGGACCTTTACCATAGGAATCTCCTTGTTCCTCAGTTTCTTTACCTGTTGACCCACAATCTTCACCGGTTCCACCGCATATTGTAGGTCTTCACGTATCTCTACCGGTGGTTTCTCAAGGATATGAGACAGATCTCGCACTTATTTCTTGAGCATCGATACATGGAACACGTCGTGTATCTTCTCAAGTTCTGGCGTCAATTTGATACGGTAAGCCACGGCCCCTATCCTTTCAAGGATTTCAAATGGGCCAATGTATCGGGGGTTAAGTTTTCCCCTCGATGTAAATCTGATGATACCTTTCCAAGGAGAAATCCTTAGAAAGACCTTATCACCGACCTCAAACTCCAATGGCCTGCGTCGTTTGTCAGCATAACTCTTTTGCCGATCTTGGGCAGCCTTGAGTCTCTCCTTTATGACCTTCACCTTAGCCTTGGTGATTTCGACAAGTTCGATCCCCTCGAGCTTGGCTTCGCCAACCTCGTCCCAACACAACGGGGTTCTACATTTCGTCCCATACAATGCCTCGTATGGAGGCATGCCAATACTCGCCTGATAACTGTTGTTATAGGCGAACTCGACCAGAGCCAAATGCTTGTCCCAACTCCCTTGGAACTCCAGAGCACATGCCCTAAGCATATCTTCCAGAATCTGTATCACCCTCTCGGATTGCCCATCCGTCTGTGGGTGAAAGGCTGTGCTAAACTTTAGCTTCGTACCCAAAGATGCTTGAAATTTTGGCCAAAATCGGGATGTGAAACGTGGGTCCCTATCCGAGACAATGGATATCGGAACTCCATGCAGTCTCACAATCTCCTCCGTGTATAGCTTTGCCAATCTTTCAAGAGGATAAGTAATGTTGATAGGCAAAAAGTGTGCACTCTTGGTGAGCCTATCAACCACCACCCATACTGCATCATAGGTGTTCACTGTTCGTGGTAGCCCCACCACGAAGTCCATGGTCACGTGCTCCCACTTCCATTCTGGAATGGTAAGTGGTTGTAAAAGTCCCGCCGGGGGCTGATGTTCCGCCTTGACTTGTTGGCAAGTAAGGCACCGACTCACGTACTCTGCGATGTCCCTCTTCATACCCGACCACCAGTAACTTTCCTTCAAGTCTCGGTACATTTTAGTGCCTCCTGGATGCATGGCATACGCCGAAGAATGAGCCTCCTCCAGTATAGACTTTTGGAGCTCCTCATTCCTTGGTATGCATACACGGCCTTTAAACAATAAAAGACCGTCATCACGTACTCGAAAGTTCTCAACAGGTCCCTCAAGGATCTGTTCACGGATCTTCTGACATTCTTCATCAGTGGCCTGACATCTACTGATCTCACTCAGCAATGTAGGCCTAACCTCGAATCTAGCAATGAGGACCCCACTCGTGGACACCTCCACTTGTGCCCTTAGTGAGCGTAGACACGTGAGTAACGTCCCCGATGTACTCTTTCTGCTCAGTGCATCAGCTACTACATTGGCCTTCCCGGGATGATAGTCGATGATCAAGTCGTAGTCCTTGATCAACTCCATCCATCTCCTCTGTCTCATGTTCAACTCTTTTTGAGTGAATACATACTTCAAGCTTTTATGATCGGTGAAAATGTGACACGTCTCCCCATAGAGATAATGCCGCCAAATCTTCAGTGCAAACACTACCGCTCCCAACTCTAGGTCGTGGGTAGGGTAGTTTGCCTCGTGTTTCTTCAATTGCCTTGAAGCATAGGCAATCACCCGACCGTTTTGCATTAGAACACATCCAAGCCCTTGGATGCTAGCGTCACTGTATATGTCGTACCCTATCCCTTGTGTGGGTAGAGCGAGGACTGGTGCTTCTGTAAGCCGTCTCTTTAGTTCGAGAAAGCCTTTCTCACAATTGTCGCCCCATATGAACTTGGCCCCTTTCTTTGTGAGCTTTGTCAATGGAGACGCCAATACAGAAAATTTTTCAACAAACTTACGATAATATCCTGCTAAGCCGAGGAAACTACGTGTTTCTTTCACGTTTTTGGGTCTCTCCCAATTCATAATGGATTCTATCTTGGCTCTATCCACCGCAATGCCCGAACCTGACACGACATGCCCGAGGAACCCGATCTCTTTGAGCCAAAACTCGCATTTAGAGAATTTGGCAAAGAGTTGTTTTTCCCTTAGCCGTTCAAGTACAAGTCTCAAATGATCTTCATGCTCCCCCTCACACTTGGAGAATATCAAAATATCGTCAATGAATACTATCACGAATTGATCTAAGTATTCACTGAACACACGGTTCATCATGTCCATGAATGCCGCCGGGGCGTTGGTTAGCCCGAACGACATGACTAGGAACTCGAAATGACCATACCTTGTGCAGAATGCACTCTTCGGTATGTCATCTTCCTTTATTTTCAGTTGGTGGTACCCCGACCTCAAGTCAATCTTCGAAAACACTGTCGCCCTTCGGAGCTGATCAAACAAGTCATCAATTCTAGGCAATGGATACCTATTTTTGATTGTGACCTTGTTCAGTTGACGATAGTCAATGCACATACGAAGTGTTCCATCCTTCTTTTTCACGAAAAGGACCGGTGCTCCCCACGGAGAGTGACTCGGCCTTATGAAACCGTTATCCAATAGCTCTTGCAATTGGGTTTTCAACTCGTTAAGTTCAGCGGGTGCCATTCTGTATGGCGGTATAGAGATTGGTTTGGTGCCGGGTTCGACCTCGATCACGAACTCAATCTCCCTATCGGGTGGAAGTCCCGGCAAGTCTTTTGGGAAGACATCCGGATACTTGCACACAACTCTCACATCATTGATGTCTATCTCTTCTTTGGTTTTGTCCACCACATACGCTAGGTATGCGTGGCACCCCTTTCTCATCATATTCCTTGCTCTCACGGCGGATATGATACAACAGTTTGATTTGCCTCTATCTCCCTCGAAGCGTAAGGTCAACCCTTCGCCGCTTTCGAGTTCAAGAACCTTCGTGTAGCAATCGACCCTAGCATTATGTTTCTCAAGCCAATCCATTCCTAGAATTGCATCGAACTCGATCATACTCAGCGGTACGAGGTCACACGTCAAAGTTTGGCCCTCCACTTCCACCCCACACGATGGATAGTGGCTATCTCTCTCGATATCATCCCCTAAAGGCGTGGACACCAATAGGGTTTGAGTCATCGGTACAAGTGGTCCGTTGAATCCGTTGGCGAACGCCTCACTCACAAATGATCGTTGCGCCCCGGTATCAATAAGGATTCTTGCGTCTCTCCCGTTTATCTTTAGTGTTCCTACATTCATAAGTAATGTAAGACACACTAACAAATAAATAGGTTCGTTTCTTAAGTCGTAGAGTATGTTGGTTGCGTTTCGGGTGGGGTCCGTTCGATACCCTCCCGAAATTTCCCGGTTTCTAACCTTTAGGACCGTTTTAGGATCAATCCGGGTGAAAGCCGGCCGCTTTTCACGAAAGCCGGCCGGTTTTCGACTGCGAGAAAAATTCTAAGTTTTTAATCACGAAAGCCGGGCGGCTTTTACGAAAGCCGGGCGGTTTTCGTCGCCGTAGTTTTTATTCAGGGAATGGTTTCGAAGCCGGCCGGTTTATACGAAACCCGGCCGGGTTTCAGCAGCGCAGGAATTCCTAGGCTCGACGAAAGCCGGGCGGCTTTCGCCAAAGCCGGGCGGCTTTCAGCTGCGAGAAAATTCTCATATCAGGCCTTTATGAAAGCCGGCCGGTCTTTACAAAAGCCGGCCGGTTTTTGGTTGCGAGGATTTTCCTGATTAATTGATGACGAAAGTCGGGCGGCTTTTGGTGGAAACCGGCCGGCATTCATCGCCGCAGCATTTTCTCAACATTTCAAGACGAAAGCCGGGCGGCTTTCGTCAATTGTCGGGCGGCATTCGCCCAGGGCGGGGGTTTTTTCCTCCCCTTTTTCCCACAATCCCGACCAAACCATCGGGGTTACAAATTTTGCACCTTACAAACACTCCTATTGCATACAATGGCGTAATATCGTGAGTTTAAGATCTTACCCGCCACGGAGTCCGGATTAGCACGTGCGTCCGCCTCCGTCATCGCATAAACTCTAGCTTGAGTTCTTCCTTGATTCACGGACGGCGCATTACTCGTGCTTGCTCCCCCTGGCCCACACTGGCATGAGATGCTCCGGCCCGGTTCCTACTTGCCGTGGTAGCGCCGCTTGGTCCTGACCCCCGGTTCCCACCAAGTTGAGGGCAGTTTGGCTTAATATGCCCTGTACTCCCGCATTGGTAGCACCGTGGCGGATCACGACACTTACCGGTGTGGTTCCTGTTGCAATTCCTGCACCTGGGCGCCGTCGGGGCTTGTGAGACCGAGTAGTGCCCGCTCGTGGCTGGGTTTCCCTTGGATGGTGCTGCCGGTGCCCTGAACGATCCACCTCC